ATTATCCCCCTCATTATCAATACCCCGGCGCGGTCCTTGCGAATGTGGGATGCGTTCTGGGTATTCGTAGCACCGATACCCACAGTATTGTGTAGCAATGTAGCAGGGATACTTGCTGTGGAACAAACAGTGACACCTGCCAGTAGGTATAAAATGTAAACCCATGAAAATAGTGAATCATGATTTATGTTTGCGCGTCTGGTCGACGCTGGACGTGACAGCATGCGAGACGTTGGTGGCAGGGTGTTGAGGAGACGGTCTCCTGCTATACAATCAATAACAAGAATATCCACAAGTGAGGCAAACAACAACAGAAACTCCCTAGAGGTACTGCGCTGAAACATCAGCCGACGTTCACTTAAGCGGGACAACCGAGGCAGCGCATGAAATTGACTGTGTCTATAAATAAAAACATTTTTCGCTTCTATTACAAGGAGAAGAACCGCGGTCGAGAAACGATTAGCTATCCACAACATCTGTATGCCGAATTTTACAGGGAGTACCCAGAGATTCAAGTATCTGAAAAGCAAATAGCAGATAAATACCTGGTAATTATGTCACAATCTTATCCTAGAGACTAGACGCAATATCATCAGAAGCGAAGTCGAATGGGAGATTTATAACAAAGAGCTAGTTGTAGATCAAATACCTAATGAAATCGTTAACAAACAAACTCCTGAACCTCTCATACTAGAAACTCAACTTGTTACTATGCAGCAGAACTACCACCAGTTGCACAATCACAATAGCCTGGTAACTGAAATGGCACGTGCCATACAAGAGTTTATTGAGACAAACCCTGTTAGCAGACCACCGCTACTAAAAATAAACTCTTGTAAGAAACACTGAAGTACTACCCAATTATATCGTGGAAGCCGATACACTGTAATATTTGCATATGCTGATTTATTGTGAAGCTACACCAATTGCTAATGTTATGGGTATTAAGATCAAAACACGACGGGGTACTAATATCGGAAAGATTGAAAACAGAAATGTATCCTTGGAAAAAAGACTGCGGAGGAAAATTGAATTATTGCGTAGGGATATTGGACAAATTAAGGAATACATCTAAGAAGTAAGAAGTCAAAAAGTAATTAAAATAGCTGAAGAATATGATCCAGAAAATAAGACAGCCCAAAACTGCCTGGACAAATTAAATCAGGTCGACAAAGAAGATACAAAGTTTAGTGACAACCGAAAATGTAACAATATACTTTTTAAGCATGCAGAGAAGGCTTTCTATAGGAAACTGAATACGACTGTAGAAAATAAAAATAAATTGTATCCAAGCCAAGAAGAAATTTATGAGTTTTGGGAAAACCAACTTTAGGCGCCAGATACCCATAACCACAATGGATTGAAGATGGACTAACAACTGTCAACACTACAGTAATAAAAATTTAATTAAAAATCTTTTGTAATAGGTATATATTTAAGGCCCAAACGGGCTAAGTTAAAAAGACATAACGTTTTCGGAAACCATGTTCCATCATCAGTGTCTAGGAGTACATAAATGTAGCCACCAGGATTAAATATATGGGTAAAAACACGTTAACAGATGTTTAATTACATTTAGTTTTAAAAATACGTTATAATGATTTAAGATTATAGAGTTACCGATGGATTAGGTAACATGGCGACATATGACTCCACGTTGAAGTTGCTAGTCCTGAGACGGTATGATACATACCGTATGTATGACGGTATGACATGAGTCATACCGTCTCAGGACTAGCAACTTCAACATGGAGTCATATGTCGCCATGTTACCTAATCCATCGGTAACTCTATAATCTTAAATTATTTTATAATGTAATTTAAAACTAAATGTAATTAAAAATCTGTTAACGGGTTTTTACCCATATATTTAATCTTGGTGGCTACATTCATGTACTCCTAGACACTGATGATGGAACATGGTTTTTAATTAAATTTTTAATACATGGTATACAGCCAACTACAGGAACGTAGATTCCTTGTGAACTACAGTAATAGTGCTTACGAACCTTTTACCCCTGAATAAATCTCGAACATTATCAAAGAGCTTTATAACTGAAAATCTTCTGGACCAGTCGAAGTTTAAAACTTCTGACTTATAGATATTATAAATAGCTTTTACTTGTACTCGATATAAGTTGCTATTTTGTTGGTAACATTACTCAGAGTTTTCTCACAGTATAATTATCTACTTCTTATACTGCCTCCGAGATCAATTACAAACCTTAAACCACCATGACATAATTTTTAAATAGAAGTGATTTAGTCTCGCTGCGTAAACAAGAATTACAAGAAAACTGGGAAATTGAATGGAATGCTTTTTGTTACAGAAGTAACAACCTTTACACAAAAATTCACCCTGTTTTACCTACTGCGGTTTTTGCTGCAAGAAGTCATCCCAATAGAAGAGTATATTCAATGTTTGTTAGATGCCTTGTTAATCATGCTACTGGGAAAGCCTATCTTTACAGATTTAATTTAAGTGAAACCGAACTTTGTGATTGTAATGGTAACACTGACGATATCAATCATTGGATGTTTGGGTGCATATATAATGAAGCTGCTATTAAGTATCTATTGAAAAAACTGATAAAAGAACAAATACCTCTCCCTCAGTGTCAATCTTCCATTTTATATATCTGTCGTCATAATATTAGGTTTAACCAAATTTTTTGGGAATATTTAAAAAGGACTAAAAGAAAAATTTAGAATTGAATGTGTAATGTGAATGTGTAAATCTAGCTTTGTTCCCTCTGTCTATCCTTATGTTATATAGTTACCTTCTAACCGTTGCCTGTCTTGTGTTGTAATAAAGTCGCTATGAAAGGCACCTTAGCGTGAAAAGTATCCCTATATTATGTAATCCGTTGTGGGTCCTAAATATTGTTGGCTAGGGCATTGAATGGAACGAATGAATGTATGGTTTTTTATCAAGCTACTGATTCTTGTGATACTGATGTTTACACTATATTATTAATTTACGTCTATGCGAAGTACTATTTTTATAATTCAAGTAGTCAAATACATTATCGTGGCAGAATGGATCAAGTATCCAAAGCCATTAATTAAATAAAAAAATAATAATAATTTTTAAAGAAATACATTATATATAATATTGATTAAATAGAAAAGTATCCAGAATCTCTATTGGAATCAAAAAACATGAGCGAGACTGAACAAATCAACCAACACAGAAGAATTTTAAATTTTAAGAGGGATGCGACAGGGATGTATTTTGGTTCCTATGCTCTTCAATCTCTATGTGGAGAACATTTTGCAGAGGTACTGGAAGGCTCTGAGTGTGGAATAAAAGTAAACGGGTTCCGGATAAATAACATTCGTTACGCCGACGACACCGCGATAATAACAGACAAAGAACATGATATGCAGTTGAAGTTAAATAAAATAAACACCGTAGGAAAAATATATAACTTGAAGATAAATGCTGGAAAAACTAAATGCATGGCAATAGATAAACCCACTTTTAATAATACAACTGCAAGTAGATAATGCTCCAATGGATCAAGTGAAAACATTTAAATACTTGGGAATGATGAAGAATGACCAATGGGATCCTCAACAAGAAATAAAATTCCGTACCGAACCAGCAAGACAAGCTTTTATTAAATTTAAACCGCTACTATGTAAACACAATCTTTATTTTAATCTCCACTACAGGAGATGCTATGCTATGTATGGTCCATATTGCTATACGGCATGGAAACATGGACGTTAAGAGTACCTTCCATTAATAAGTTTTAGGCCTTCGAAATGTGGACGTTGCTAAGAATGTTCTGCATAACATGGACAGAAAGAGTGAGAAAAGAGGGAGTCTTAATAAAGGGAAAATACTGAGAGAGAACGACTCAATTTGATCAAGGTGCGAAAAATTGAATACCTCGGCCATATTCTGAGAGGGAAAAAATACGCAATCTCTCAATTAATCATCCAGGGAAGATTGAAGGCAAGAGATATGTAGGTCGCAAACAAATGTCGTGGCAACAGAGTATAAAGAACTGGACAGGCATAAATAACACCGGCAATCTTTTGCATGATCTTTTGATATGATCTTTTACATCTGATCATTCAGGGAAAGATTTAAGGTAATCGTGGTCCTGGTAGAAGAAGAACATCATGGCTGAAAAATCTAAGGCAATGGTATGGAAAATTAAACTACATCGTTATTTAGAGCTGCTGTCAATAAAGTCACGATAGCGAATATGGTAGCCATCATGATATCCAACGATCGATAACGGTCATGGAACTAGAAGAAGAAGAAGAATCTTTTGCATGTCGCAAAAGACAGACGTCTAGCCTTAAGATAATTCACCAATGCACTATAGGTGCACAGCACTATAAGAAGAAGATAACATTGAGAGACAGCAAAGACAAACGAAGATATCTGAAGAAAGACGAAGGAATGAGGTAACATAGAAAAGGCGACAAAAATGAAACGGAGGCGAATTAGTTTTCTGGTAAAAAATAATTCTCCTGAGGTGGGCAAAAAATTTTTATAGAACAGTGACCAAAAGCTAACGAACACAACCAGCAACGACCCTTACGGGTCATTACGACCCTTACGACCCTTACATTTACTATCTAAACTTACGGACTCTACATTTTACAATGTTGGGAAACGTGATCTTCAAGGTATTAATAAGAAAGCTTGTATAATGTCGTAAACATATACAGAAAGCTAGAAAATATTATCCAAGATAAAAGATTAGAATAAAAAGTTAAGGAAACCGTAAAATAGTTTCGAAACACAATTAATTAAAAAAGTTAGGGCTTTAAGGTTTCAATAAATCTAAAACAAGACAACTCGTACATATTTTTCTGTAAAGCATTGCATTTTGTGGGAAGTAGAGGAGAAAAGTTTGGCAGTATAAACATTATCTTATTGTCATCGTAAATTGACATTACCATCCAATTTAATTTTGTGTTTTACTGTAATTTAAATAAATTTATTATAACTAATTTATAATTATTGTGTATTGCAGATCTTGTAACGAGTGATGGAGGAAGTGTCATTTTTGGAACAGAAAAAGAGAAAACGACATCCAATCGAAACAACTAACTGCGTGTCAAAATTATTTTTTTGGTAAGATATTTTTTAATTATTCGTATCAATAATGATATGTTATTCTTTTAATTATGTTTTCTTATGTTATTAGCAGGTCTGAAAATTATAAAAAAACAAAAAACAAGTGTCATCGACAAAATCGATAAAATTCTAAAATCAAGAGAAATGAAGACAATATTGTCTCTCCAATAAAAACTTTCATCTCTTGTTCAATCAATCACAGACAACATTTCAAATGAACAACACGGAGTTTATGAAATTCCTTGTGCAGACTGCCCTTACTCTTATATAGGCCAAACAAATCGTAGAATCCAAAATAGGACTTACGAACATTCAATTTCTGCTCGCAATTCCGACTCAATTTCAGCTCTAAGTAAACACCATCTTCATTAAGGTCGCAAAATTGATTTTAAAAACTCCAGAATTATAGCCACCATCTGTTTTTATAAAGAATTATCCGAGAAGCCACAGAAATTGAAAAAGGTCAAATTTTCTTAATAAAGAGATACGGCATACGGTCACTTTCGACTTGGAAATATTTCATAAAGAAAATATCTTCAGCTCCACCCGTTAATCATAATTTTACTGTCAGAAATGTTCGCGCCAACGTTTGCGCCAATCCCTACGCTATCCCTTACAACAACCTTAGCCCAAACCACGTCACCATCAACGGTATAAATCACTCGTCCTCTATTCCCAGCACCAGTAATCCATTGGTAAGTAATCAGTGTAGTAGTGTTTGGAAACCCGAGACCTCGGAAGCGCTGAAGAAGACATCGAAGAGGATGTCGAAAGCTTGGCACAATCATAATCAACGCAGTTCAACCCAAAATACTTTTGAGTATATGATTAGTTCCTGTAATATGATTAATATTAGCTCCAACTGCCTAACAAAAGTTAAACACTTAATGTTCATTTTGTAAAAGGGGGAAATGGTAATTAAACAGCAAGGGGAAAAGCTTTGATTAAGAACTTTAATACTGGAAGAAGCAAAATATACAGGTTTACGATTTTGTAATAATATACATCCAGCACCATTTTAATTTGAATCTGTTTGAATTATTATTGGAATATTTTCATCAAAATTAGTTTCTAATCATTATCAGTTTTCTAGCAGAAGTAAAAGATTTATTAAACCCCCATCTAGATATAAAGATTTTGAGATGTACTACTTTTGCAATCAGTATCGTAATTAGTTTTTATTTTAGAATGTTTTTATTCTTAGATCATTGTTGTAAGTTCTAAAAGGAAAAGATGTTATGAGACTAAATAGCTCATGAATGTAAAGTCCTGACAGGACTATGACATGAGACAGGCGGCACAAGGTCTCATGGCATACATAGAGGTGAACCACTGCAGTAGAAGTGAAGGTTAGGATGACACTGTATTATTGAAAGTTTTAATATGTGGGCCAAACTATAAAACTTAACAAAGAAAACCAAACAGCAGAGATAAAAAAACGAGTTAGACTGGCATGGGCGGCATTTGGCTATCTAAGTTACATTCTTAAAAACAAAAAGTATCCACAGCATCCTAAGACCAAAGTATACAATCAATGCGTACTCCCTGTTCTTACTTATGGTTCCCAAACGTAGACATTTACCAAAGCCAACATGGACAAAATCATAAAAACCCAAAGAGCAATGGAAAGACAAATGTTGCACATAAGACTAATGAATAAAAAGAAAAACGTGGTTAGGTGGATGACTGTAGCGAGAGACAGAGAAAAATGGAAAAGGATTGGGGAGGCCTATGTCCAAAGATGGACCGAAGAAGGCTAATTAGATAGATAGATAATGATAAAGATGTACAACAGTCCATATTAAACATTATTACAGTGATGAATATGAAGCCTTATTTGTTGATAAAACTACTACAATGGAATTTGCCGGAATTTAAAATCTGTTTATCCTACCACATTTCTCGCTATATTGTTCATACTGTTGTATTCTAAGAAGGATTTTTGTCAAATATTTTTCATATAATAAAGTTTGTTTAAATGACCTCTGGTCAGTTATCATAATCTGCAGATACTAAGTCAAAATATTAAGGACATTGTTTCCTCGAATGACAGGTTATTGCGTTCCAGTAATGCGATTGTTTTGTAATACATGTCCTGATTAGGTTCTAAATAAATCTGATTTTCGAGAGATTCTTACACTTTAAAATTATGTTTACAAATATATTAGGATTGAGGTCGGGTAATTTTCCTGTTGAGACATAAAATAAAAATTATTTGATTGCGTAAAGTCTGCTATTCATAGATCAATAATCATCAATAACAAATTGAAGATTATTATTACAACATGATGTTCGACATTTAAGATAATGGGAAAGACAATTGGTTACAAATTTCTATTGCAATAACATTTTTGACAATTATTGACTATATTTTTTATAAATGTGTATGAGTGCAAAACTAAAATATCCTTAGCCTAGTCCCCCAATAACACTAAATGATTCTTTTGTTACGTTGTCCCACATAGCATAAAAGTAAATACCAAGTATGAATTTGTGTGTGTGTGTGTGTGTGTGTGTGTGTGTGTGTGTGTGTGTGTGTGTGTGTGTGTGTGTTTGTGTGTGTGTGTGTGTGTGTGTGTGTGTGTGAGTGTGTGTATGCACTTTTTTTTTATTCTGCCCTGCTAATCTGAAAGGTCCTAACTGACAAAATCGCAGTTTTGATCCTAACGGTACTGGGTGGCAGCGAAAAACATTCTTTATCTTCCCTTCAAAGTTGACCTGTCCTATCTGTAATTAAATAGCTGTTAAGTTCAAACTGAAACATGATTACTAAGCATTACGCCGTATCTGATCTGTAAAAACCTGAAGTGTCCTATTGTAACAGATAGTAAAAGTCAGTATTGCAATATATACCTAATGCTACCCAAAATCTAGCACGCCCTGAGTGACAGATAGGACATATTCAGCATTGCACCTTAAAACAATATAAACTATGGAGAGGGCATCACGGGATTAAAAACGACCTCACTTCGGCCATATTGTTAATATTGTTTTGAAACTTTTGACAGATAGTATATGTTTGTTTACATTTGTTGTTTTTCGAATATTTTCAGTTTTATAATACTTTTATAGGAACTGTAATATATTGTGATAGTGCATAATAATGGTTTCTTGTTCTCAACGTAGATGCAGTAGCAGAAACAATGTTAATAAAAAATCTTCAGGAATATCGTTCCACAGGCTAGTATAAAAATATGTAAAAAAAGTAATGGCCCGTACTTCAGATAAAAAATTAATAGTATTTGACTGTGTTAATTTATCTTTATGTATAATAATATCGTGTTTTTAGTGTTTACCGCGGGATAAATAAATCATAGTTTATTAAAAATGTATTGCACTTTTTTAGATTATGATTAAATCTTTTGAATAACAACTAATCATATTTGTTTAGTAGTTTTAATATTATTGAGTCTGGCCCTGATGTCACCGCTATATTGGTATTATCGTTAGCCACGCCTACCTACGCTGTTTTTAATACATACGTTAATATGCTCGTAGCTTCTCCATCGGATTCCATTAATGTCAGTTTTTAGTGCAGAAAATTTAATTTATACCTCGAAGTAAGTAACCGAATGTTTTATTATTAATCAATAATAATTAATCATATTTTTTAATAATAGTTAATAAATAAAATAGAAAATATTTAATAGTTAATAATAATAGTTGAATTAATTAATAATATTTAATTAATCATTATTATTTATTGTGCCAGATAATAGTACCTCCATGATTGTTTTAAGTGCCTCTTATATTTAGTTCCGTTTTTATTTTCATTACATTAACTGTGCTGGACCTGGAACTTACTGTAAATGTAACTGTAAAATCTTCAACATACGAAACTCGATTAAACAATCTTCTTCTTAATGTGCCCTATCAAGTCCTCTTGACGTTGGCGATTAATATGGCGAAACTGTTTCTGTCTCGAGCTATTCTAAAGAGTTGCTTAGTTTTCTTTATTCCTGTCCACTCTCTGATATTCTTCAACCAAGAGGCCTGCTTTCTACCAATACCTCTGCGTCCTTCGATTTTACCCATCATAACAGGTAAGTTGAAGAATATTATATCGGTCTCCCCTTACTACCTGTCCAAAATAGGCCATCTTTCTACAGTTGATGTTATCAAGCAGCTCGCGAGCAACATTTGCTTTCTCAAGGACTACCACATTTGTCAGCAGAGCCGTCCATGGAATTTTTAGTATACATCTGTGCAGCCACATTTCAAAGGCCTCCAGACGATTAATGGTGGATATTTTTAATGTCCATGCTTCGACACCGTATAAGAGGACTGACCAAAGGTAGCATTTAACCATACGCTTTCGAAGTTGAAGTTTCAAGTTATCATTACAGAAGAATGACCTCATTTTTAAAAATGTCGTGCGGGCTATCTCGATTCTACATTTTATCTCTTGATCTGGATCTAGTTGTTCAGTAATATGGCAACCAAGATATTTAAAACTAGACACTCTTTGAATTATATGACCATCAACATATAATCGTACATCTTGATGTGCTAAACGGCTAAACACCATGTGTTTTGTTTTTGAACAGTTTATGTTTAGGCCAAACCCTCTTCCCACTATATCAATGGCATTTAAAAGGCATTGTAATCCATTCATGTCATCACTTTAAATAACTGTATCTTCTGCATATCTGATTGTATTTATCAGAATTCCATTAACTTTCACGCCCCATTCCAAATTATATAAACAATTAAACAATATGATTTGTAAATGATTTTTCTTCTTCTGCTAGTGCCTATCCTCTATGGATGTTGGCTACCACAATGGCCCATCGTATTTTATTAGCAGCTGTTTGAAATAGGTCTGTAGTGGTTATACCTATACACTGTCTCAAATTCTTAAGTCAGGATATTCGGTGTCGTCCTGGTCCTCTATTTCCTTCTATTTTCCGTTCTAATATCAATAGTAGGATTCTGTATTTATTTTCATTTCTCACTATATGTCCGAAGTATGCTAACTTTCTCTCTTTAATGGATTT